TTACGCTACGGTTGGAAGTTATACATTTTAAAGTTCATTAAAAATTTAAATTAAATTTGATGATACCAATAAACCTGACTCTTTTCTGGTTCTTAATAACCAATTTTAAAAACCCTACGACGCTTTGGTTGGGCATGATAGCGTAGCTTCTAATTCATCGAATTTATTTGTGCAAGTGTGCGGGAAGTCGATGGATGCAGGTGGCTCAGGATCTTACTTCGTGGCAGTCTATGGGGGAGGCCTGTGTTCAGCAGTGGACTCAAACAGCCTGAAATGATGATGATGATGATTTGATAACAACATTTATTGTATTGGAAATGAACTGTCTGCCATGGAGTAGACGCAAACATATGAAATTGTTGTTAATGAAGACATATTTCCGTTTGATAAAGAACAATTCAGTCCAAGTTTGCTATCTGGTCTCCTTACACCATCACTTAAATACAATCTTGAAATTGCCTCTAAATTAAGCCAGCTCACCTCTCTACAAGTAATGATAAATCGGATAACGATTAGGCCGTTCTTTTGATACAGAAACTACTAAAAAATCATGAAACTAGACTACTGTAAGTAAAAGAGAAATAGTGTTATCCAATGTCATAATATTTCTGAAGATGACGGAAAAATATTATTTGATAAATTTTTAAATACGACGGGATAAAAAACGAATTTACGTTGATAGTTTAATAAAAATTTTAGATACAATTAGGCAAAGAGATAAAAAAGACCCTTAAAAATGTAAAAAAGTTAAGGCTTTTATAAACCGCCCTTCAAAACGTGTGTATTTATGATATGAAAACCAGAGATGGGTGTTCCTTTCTATGGAATGAAGGCAAAGGCTGAATTCTGATCAGTTTGCAACGATTTTAACCAATTTCTTAGTTGATAAAGTAATTCTAGCAATAGAATTACTATTCATAAGAGGATAACAACAGATATTAAAAAATTAAATTAAATTTGATGATACCAATAAACCTGACTCTTTTCTGGTTGTTAATAACCATTTTATAAACCCTACTACGCTTTGGTTGTACACTTGAAAAGAAAAAGAAAGTTTTTATTTAAAATACATCTATCAAGAAAACCAGCTAACTCCCGGATCACATACTTTTGCACGAAAGAAAAAACGGATAACTCCTAAAAAACGCTGTAGTATGGTAATGAAAATGTATAATGGATTTTATAATATCAAAAATGAAAATTTACGATAATATCTACCAACTATATTTTTGATTTTCTCATAAGTAGTCTAAGAAAAATATTATACAGTTTTAAGTGTCTCCTGTAAAACTTGCCCATATGGAGTTAGCTTGTTTGCCAATTAAGGTATCGATATGACTTTTTATTCAAGTTTTGTTACGTGTGTTATGGTGGTGATGTGAGTGAGGTAACCCAGAGCCTCTGTGCGCTTTTTTTAAAGGAAAAATTGGCAATTGGGCCGGGGGTTCCGCTGGTATCACAGTTTTCTACCACTAACTGCGGTGTCTTCTCTTCTACGCATGTTTTTTTATTTCTTCACAATGCTTTTTGCTCTAGCAATATTGTATTGCTTCAGAGTGAGGTTGCATAATATGTGACACTACAATATATTTAATCAAGAGCTACCTCACGATTACTTAAAATCTGCAAAGTTTCCGCTTCTCGCAAAATATTCTATATATTATACGAGACTCATCGTGAAAATTAAAATTGAAATGTATTTTTGAACAGGTAGGTATAACTCAATCCTTCGCTGCTCGTCGGAGAGCTGGGGGGGGGGGGGGAAGGTTGTGGGTGGGGTGGCGAATTTACCCTGTCGGCACTAGGCAGTCAGACGTGAGACTAATATTCAGCATTTACCATTTACCGAGTTGTCTGTTGATATAGCAATATTTAATAACAAACGGCTGTTTGTTGCTAAATATCGTATGTAGCTACAACTAGTGGCTAGTGAGAACTATGTATCTATGTATCTATATATATTATTTCTCAAAGGTGTTGTTTGTCGGTACGCCATAACTCTGCATCAAATTTAATGATTCAATAATAATATTTGTCGATATTGACGAGAATAGAGAAATTTGAATAAAGATATTGTTTTTATAAAAAAACTCGTTTAATTTTTTTTATTCACATGTCATTTTCACACTCTTTATGTGTGAAAATGACATCAATTACATGTTGACAATTAGTATTATTGAAAAATTGCGAAATACTTAAAAATAAGATGCTTTTTCTGATAAATACTTATTTACATAAACTCGGTACTGTGTTAAGATTTTGCACGGGTGAACTAGTATACTTGTGTGTATTTCACAACTTCAAATTATCCTTAGTATATTGTTTGTGTAAGAAATGACTCTTGCTCTACACTTGCAAGTCCCCTAGCTACTGCTAATTTTGTACTTAAATAATTTTGTATACTTTTATAATTAAAAAAAGAGACAACAATAGTTTCTTCCCGGTTCTTCTCTGGTCAGGTCTATTTTAGTGAACCGGTGGTAGTTTTTAGGGTTCCGTACCCAAAGGGTAAAACGGGACCCTATTACTAAGACTCCGCTGTCTGCCTGTCTGTCCGTCTGTCACAAGTCTGTATGTCGTGAACCGTGATAGTTAGACAGTTGAAATTTTCACAAATTTTGTATTTCTGTTGCCGCTGTAATAATAAATACTAAAAGAACAATAAAAAATATTTAAGTGGGGCTCCCATACAACAGTCATGATTTTTTTTGCCGTTTTGATAGATAATGGTACGGAACCCTACGTGCGCGAAACCGACTCGCACTTGGCCGGTTTTCTTACGTTAAATACGAGCTTAAAATAAGCCTTTATTGAATAGAGAAATTTTGACTTTGTAGTGGAAAGTTACAGCTGTCCGATGATTTATACTATCTCAGAAAGAGGAGAGAAGACGCAGGACAACCAACCCCCTAATTCACCCCTTTAAAAGCAAAGATGCATTCCTCTATTCGAAGAAAAGCGCGGCGCCCACGTACGTCCATATTTTCTTTATTCTACCATCTTTTTATGTTTGAAGCGTCTGTATGCATATAAAATAACAGATATTACCTGCACATTTAGCTCATATCAATACCATCTCTAACATGTTAGGAATAATTGTGACTCCACTATCAAGGCTCCAAATGTAGCTTGTATCGGAAAAGGTTTTCGTATATCATTTCGATTTTTAAATCACCCGAACATTGAGCCGCTTATTTACTAAATAATTAATAGTTACAAAATCGAAAATCAAATAATGTTGACTCCGGGCTTTCACTGTGCGTTGCAATCACAGTCTAATGGCGAATAGATTCAATTGACCTTTGTTAGGCTTTCTCGAGCCTCGAGCGACGTGCAAATGTCAATGTTGCAGGAGAAAATTAATGGTACTTATATTGGGATTCTTTCATCAGATTGATGTAACGACCGCGATTTTTTACGATAATAATAAATGGATGCATTGATCTCCCTCCACATCCCTGTAACATGCACCAATTTAGAATTTTAGTAGTTTAGAATTTTTCGCTGTGACAAGACTTACCGTCTGTGAAGTTTGGTGAAGGTTTTATATTGAATTTTAACTGTGATAAAACAATTATCAATTTGTCCATGAAAGCTGTTGATAGTAAAATCGCCGCCTAACCTATCGGGTGGAAAATCGGACCGTCTATGAATTATAATCTATTCATCCATACCTCATCGCCGTAATGTCAACTTGATCGCAGTGAAGTCATATGTAAACGTAACACGGTCGATGTTGACGACGGAAAGATAATATTATTATCTGTAAGACTACTATATATATGCTTCATTAACAGGTCTTAATTTACAGAAAGCCCACCTGACCGCCGCCAGACTTGTCGGATCGATATTAGAGCAACAAGCGATGCGCAGTTGCATCCCCTCGCGTCCTCCCGCCGCCCACTGATATAAATGGATGACCTCCCCTCCCATAGCTTGGTATGGGGAGACGGGTCGTATTAAGCTCTCCGTACGTGCAATGATACAACTGTTGCACGTCCCCTTCAATGATATTGTATACAAAGATCTAGCGCATCGAAAATATTTAGATGACTCTAAAACTATTTAAATATGTATATAGTGTACATAATGTCAAAATTTTGTGCGGACATTTGTTTTAATAAAGACGTTCATTCGCGTTTAAGAACTCCTTCGAGTAAACTCGAGCGTGTTGTCCTCGTTTTCACAATTTATGTTTCCCGGGAGCCCTTTGCGATATAACGACGACACTCGCACTAATTTGGTCCCTAGATACCACATTTATGAAGTCATAATTTATAGACAGCGTGACAATAAAGAAATGATTGTGAATCTGGTGAAAATTAAATTGAATGCCTTAAAGTACCACGCGACCCCACTGCGGATTGGCGGTCTTTTCATATCTTCGAAATAATCGTTGAGCCGTCTCTTTGGTCCCGACAACTAAAATTAGCAAACTACTGATTGATTATCGAAATTCGTACGTAATTTACGTACTTTTTAATGCGTAAAATTACGCATTATGTATGTAAGTAATGTTTTAATTCCATTCAAAATAAACAGAATAATTCAATATTTATTTGTGTCAAAATAAACAGAATAATTTAATATTTCTTGATTAATTATAATTACGATTCATTGCATTACATTCAAAAAATAAGGAACAACGTAAAACATTTCTTAATACGAATGACTCATAGAACGTGACTCTCGACTTGAGGCGAGTTAAAGCACCCATATATTTATGAAAATATGTTGAGTATATGAACCCTTTTGGTTTATTAATATTTTAATATAAATACATATTTGCAAAACTTTACCAATACCATTAGCAACATGTTGTTCCTATCCCGACTTAAGTGGGATAAGGGCAAAAGAAACAAGATGATAAGTTAAATGAAACTATATTACGGATTTTATCGCGTTTTAATTTTTCATTTTTAATTCCCGACGTTTCAAACCCTTTCGCATCGCTCATGGTCATGACATAGACCGAGACGTGGCTCACCAATTCGCCGCAGGTGGAGGCGAGCCTGAACAATGGCATCAAGCAGGGCATGCTGCTGGAGGTGTGCCACAAGAGCAACCCGGACGTCTACTGGATCGCCGAGATCACGATGGTGTGCGGACACCTGCTCAGGATAAAGTTCGTCGGCGCCGAGGGCGACTTCTGGTGCGACATATCCACCACGAAGGTGCACCCGCTCGGCTGGTGCGGCAAGTACGACGAGCTGGTCGAGCCCCCGGACGATGTAAACGAGCGCTGCGGCGACGGGATCATCGACATCATGAAGAAGGCCCTGCTGGTCGGCCAATCGGTCTCCATAGAGGCCCTGAACAACAAGGGCATGTCGCCGATAGACCGCATCAAGGTCGGAATGAAGGTCGAGATACAGAACGTCCTCGACCCGTACCGCTACTGGATCGCTACGGTGAGTTCTGAATGGTCGTACAATGCATTTGGTGACTTGTGTCTGTTTGGAAATGCTAGTCTTATTAATAGTTACTTCCGCACATGACAACAACGATGCTTATTTTAAATAAACCATATTATCACGACTGCGATATTCACTCATCTTGCTTCAACTTGTTCTTGTCTTGAAACATTGTTTGACGCTTATTATTACTAAAATTCTTGTATATATTTAATAATGTGTTGTATATATTTGACTGTGGTAGGGTCACGTAACAGACTTCACTGTTGCATGAACAGGCAGATCCGTTCGGGGAAGTACTGCGACCTCGCAGACTACCGGCGTGAAGTGTTGTCGTGTAGCTGTAGCCCAATTTTCAAAAGGTTGTCAACGTACCTACACAAGTACACACCCTCGGGTGTAGCAAATGTCATTGGGCGGCGGTATTCACTTAACATCAGATGCACCGCCAGCTCGTTTGCCACTGTTTCACATAAAAAAGATCGATACAATTTAAAAATATCATTCTACCCTTTCACCATTCTACACGCTACGAGCGTAGCTGATCCGCAATTCTGCGCGTTCCGCAGGTGTGCGAGAACGTAGGCGGGCGGCTACTGCTCCGCTACGACGGCGCCGACGAGGACCTGCAGCCCTTCTGGATATTCTTCTCCAACCCGCGCCTCAGCGGCTTCGGCTACGTCACCAACAAGGTTCGTAGCAAGCGGGACACTAATAATATACCTACGCATTGTAGTGCGCCGCCGTATTATACATATAAAGTTTCTCTTGAATCACTCCATCTGGTAAAAAAAAACCGCGTCAAGATCCGTTGCGTAGTTTTAAAGATCTAAGCGTTACAGGGACAGACAACGGGACGCATCGTCGAGCGCGTCACGTTTTGGGAATTTAACTGCTACGAAGGCAAGAGCACAGTCTTTCTCTGTCTTCTGTCTCTGTGCACGGTAGAACATTTGTATTAACAATTGCGAATGTTACCAGAGCGTTAGTTACGATTTCCTTAAGTTAGTTTGAGATTATATCTATAATTCTATACGTAGCATTTAAGCGTGTCTCCGTTTTCTCTCATTTTTATTTTCCTTGCTCATGGTGATGTAATGGCGACGCACGAAATGCCAACAGTCGTTCGGACCCGCCGCAATAGATGTTTCACATCAAAAGTAAAATAAATTGTCTCGGGATTTTACCAAGTATACGTACATTTAATACACCACGGCAATTGCATTATCAGCTATTTCTTTGGAGCGCGTCACGGCCGAATTGCATCTTTTAATTCGTCTTATCGACGCACTGTCACGTAATTTCCATTTGCAACGGTGTCATGTCACGATTCAATTGGCTTTCGAGCGATATTAATTAATGTTTGCTCATGTCCGATATGACGGGATGGAGATTTAGCTCCATACCGGTATCAATGGCCAAACACAGGCACCACTGAAATTATTGATTTTAAGTGCTCACTTATCTCATCAGCGTTAAAGGAAACCTGCATATTTTCGATGTGACATGTATATGTTGTAACTTTATTCTTTACTCACCGGGATGGTTATTCGTTATGGTAATCACTAAATATATGGAAAAATACATTGTAATGGATTCTTAATATCTATTTCAACTACGACATAACTTGCATAATAGGATGAATTTTAGTACAAAATTCTCTTACATATAAGAATTTTATAAACCCGGCTTTTGAATATAGACGGTTTTCGATTTTGTTTTAAACATTGCCCCTTACCGAAAAACAACATTATCCTGTGTTGTAAGGACGTTTTACATACATCAATTTCACGCCTACAAACACCCAAATTAAAAAAAAATGTCCCGTCTATAGAACCCACGACGCCTTGTTTGCTTGATACCTTGGCAACTGCACCACGGAGACATATAGGCAGTAATATCTTTTCCTGATGTAAATTAGACTTTGAAGTTTGCATTTGTTGTTTGCGATTGGAAACATTTACACATTTTATATACGAGTACCTCGTTCCAAATCCGACAGCGACAGCTTATAATTAAGAAAATAAATCTAGTAATAGTAGAAATAGTCGCTTATCTCAGTGGCAGAACGTCCGAAAATGTTATCGTTATTTTAAATTGCGGGAATACTAGCATTTAATATTCAAAATTAGACTGCTACTATTATCACCTTTATGTATTCAAGAACTAGGCTGTAGTTATTTAGGATCTGTATTGCCCCAGGGCTCAGCTACTATTACTGTTATGTATCCAAGGACTAGGCTGTAGTTATTTAGGATCTGTATTGCCCCAGGGCTCAGCTACTATTACTGTTATGTATCCAAGGACTAGGCTGTAGTTATTTAGGGTTTGCATTGCCCCAGGGCTCGCCGTGGCAGTTCAAGTACCCGGGCAAAGTGAACAAGTTCTCGTGCAAGAACAAGCTGAGCGCCCAACTGCGCCAGAGCGCCGAGGAGTCCATAAAGGAGCCCACGCCCGCTGATCTCTTCCAGGTGAGATTAAATAAATCAATGAAAAAGTGCGAAACGAACTCGCCCACGAAGGGTTCCGTGCCGTTATCGATAGAAACGACAAAAAACATTCCGTTGCATGGGAGCACCAGTTGAATGTTTTTATTAGTATTTGTTGTAATAGCCGTAACTATCACGGTTGATGAGATACAGCCTGGTGACGGACAGACAGACAGCGGAGTCTTAGTAATAGGGTCTCGTTAGGAAACCTAAAAAGAACGTCTGTGTGAACGAACTTAGGTGCGCACGTAAGAAGTTACACTTGTTTAGCGTAACAAAAGAAAAATAATTTATAAAAAATGCACCCGCATGCCAGTGCTTACTATTTGTTTGCGAGAGAGGCATTGTATGATAAAGGTTTACATAAAAAGCGTGGAATTACACAGCCTATTCGCATCAGCCTATACATGGATATGTATAGACTGACACTATAATTAAATAATTTATTTATCGAAATAAGAAACATAGATTTAATTTAACGATAGACCTTTTATAAATCTAATACCGTTTCGTAATGAGGTTCCTCTAACGGAGATGAAATGGACGAAAGAAACCACGTAGGTATCCTCTTTTGTCATTTTTTTCCCCCCAAAACATGAAAGTATATTTTTAGAAATAGCTTGAGAGCGATCAACTAATTCCTAGAAGTTATTATTATTTATATATTCATTTGTATCATAATAACTCATTTTATATAGTTATCATGTTATATTAAATGAGTTATTTCCCCCCCGGCCTGCCAGCCGCCGCCCACCCAGGAGGCGCACAGCTTCGTCACCGGCATGAAGCTGGAGGCGCTGAGCCCCGGCGACATGCGCTCCATCCGGCCCGCCACCGTCGCCACGGTCTTCAACAACCTGCACTTCCTCGTGGTGATAGACGACCACCTCGACGACCACGAGGAGAGCAAGATGGCGTGGCTCTGCGACAACATGCACCCGTACATATACCCGATCGGCTGGGCGCAGCGGCACGGGCTGGCCCTCAGGCCGCCCAGGGCCTGGACGGGCGGCGCCTTCGACTGGGACGAGTATCTGGCGATGACGTCATCCGTCCCGGCGCCGGAGTACTGCTTCGGCGGCAAGGAGCCGGCGCGCGGCTTCGAGGCGGACATGCGCCTGGAGGCGGCGAACCCCACCAGGCAGGAGGAGATCCACGTGGCGAGCGTGGTCTCGACGGTGGAGCACATGGTGTGCGTGGAGCTGATACCGATAGGGGAGCGCTTCTGGTGCGCGCAGGGCAGCGATCTGCTGTTCCCCGCGGGCTGGTGCGACAGCAACGGGCACGAGCTGCACGTGCCCGACACGAGGGCGGAGGCGCCCGGGGCCGAGGCGGAGCCCGAGCCGAGGCGCGCCGAGTGGTGCGACCGCATCTACTTCAACTACAAGTGCTACGCGGGCCCCTCGATCAGCCGCAACAAGCTGTCGCGGCTGCCGAAGCACGTGGGCCCGGGCCCGCTGCCGCTGGTGCTGCGGGAGGTGCTCAACAAGCTCATCTCCGCCTCGTACAAGCCGGCCAAGCTGCTCAAGGACTGGGAGGCGGACGGCGAGCCCGCCGACGGCATGAGGCTCGACGTACTCCGGGCCAAGTGAGTGCACAACGCCTTATGAACACTCGCTCCTAAGCTCTAAATTGTAAGTTTTTTTGCAGATAAATGAGCCAATCTGGGCGCGGAACCGGAGGAAGCGGGTTGGAATCCATCATTTATCTACAAAAATTTACAATTTTTGTGGTGAATTCATCTACAAAAGTTTACACTTTAAAGTTCCGTCTTGAGTGCAGAGGATAGCGCTAAAATGAAAATTATTATGAAAATCTGTACGGAGTTAATGTGTTATTAATTTTCTTTTTTTTTTTATATAAAACATCGCCCTTACAGTGGGATAACGTTGTCCCGTGCTGTACATTTCACACGGACAAACTGTCATCTGGCAACCCCGAGCCGTGGGTCCTCAACCGTTCCGCCCTCAGGCTGAAGGCGAGCACGCAGCACGCGCGCGTGGCGGTGCCGGCGCGGGGCGACCTGGTCCCGGGCTTCTGCCGCGCCACGTGCCGCCGCCTGCAGGCCTGCCCCAGCCTCTTCGGGCCCGGGGACTTCCCCGACGGCTGCCCCGACCACTGCCGCCGCCTCGACAAGGCCACCTTCCGTGAGTCGCTCGCTCGGTCCCCCGCCCCGCAAATGTTCTAACATTCTCATTAACAAAAGGTAAAATCGACTTCAAAATCTCACTATTCCCTATTTGATTATGAGGAACACTCTGATGTGTCTCCAGAGTCCAAGATGCAGTACCAATGAAATTAATATCGGGCCACATGGGATCTAGACCGATCCCAATGCAAAATTTTAAAATCTATTCTCAAGATGACCTTGGCCAATTTTTGGCACTTTCAGATTAGAAACTGCGTCTTCCGTATAACGCGCCTACATGCCGTACTATCGAAACTGAGCGAAGCCGACGATCTCACGACTCGATAATGTCAATTCTTAGCTTTACAAAAGTTCACATTGCACTTTGAGAAAACATCTTGTGATGAATAACATTTTTCAAATCTGTCCATAACAGACAACGGAACAGAGCGCCGGGGCAGGCCGAAGGGCAGCCTGAACGGGCGCAAGAAGAAGAAAAAGGGCGCGACCGAGAAGCGCGAGAAGGGGACGCCGCCATCGCGCGACGGCGAGGGCAACAGGGACGGGGAGTCGGTCGGGAGCGAGCACAGCGCCGGCTCGGCGCCGCCCTCGGAGCCGGGCACCAGGCCCACCTCGGCCGACAGCGCCTGCGACGGCAAGCGCCCGCCCAGGAGGCGGCGCCGCCCCAAGGCCGCCCCGCCGCCCAAGCTGGAGATGAAGACGCGCGGCGCCAAGCTGCCCAACTTCGCCCTCCAGATGAAGGAGGCGCACTGGACCAAGAAGGACGTCGCCACCATCTACGGCAGCTCGTGCGCCGCCAAGAGGCGCGCCTCGCACGACAGCGACACCAACGGCAGCAGCTGCGCCTCCAACGCCAAGAACATCTCGGACGTCTCGGACAGCGAGGAGCCCGAGCTCAAGAAGCTCAAGTTCAACACCTACGACCCGCTGCCCTCGGACAACAAGATGTTCGAGAAGGAGACCGCCATGTCCTGGATGGGCGGCAGGGTGAAGCTGGCCCCCAACCCGCTCGACTGGTCCGTCGACGACGTGTACGCCTACCTGAGCAGCACGGACGACTGCAGGCCCATCGCGGACAAGATGAAGCAGGAGGAGATCGACGGGCAGGCGTTCATCATGCTCGACCTGCCCATCATCAGGGAGTTCCTGCACATGAAGAAGGAGTTCGCGATGCAGCTGTGCAAGCACATCAGCACGATCCGCTGGTACTACATAGACAACTTCGAGGAGAACGGCGAGCCTCGATAGCCTCGTCGCCTTTAGCTGCACCCGTCTAGTCCATAAATAAACTTATTGAAATCGAAACCCTTTTATTGTAACCGACAAAACGCTTACAATCAAATCCTGCGCAGCTTCCGGCACAGGTACCTGCAAATTTTGTGGATTATCGACCGGTCCAGGTCTTCCACCTCTTCGTGTGCAAAATCCTCGTCCAGGTGTATGTTCTTCTTCGGGTTGGAGATCTTCACGGGGATGTCCTTTTCGGTCGCGTTCTCGTTCTCGTTGGCGCATTGACGCCTCAGACGCGCCAGTTCCAGTCTCTTGGCCTTCAACCTGCTCACGTTCTCCGCCGAGGCGGCTTGCAGCACGTCTTCTCTCACGCTCTCATCTCTAATGTTGATTTCCGACATCATGTCGCGGTTGCTCAGCCGGATCTGCACGCACCGGTTGCAGCTGAAGTTGTAAATGTTGAACACCCTCTTTCCCGACGGAAGGTCGCTGGAACTGCGCGGCACGGTCACCGTGACCGAGTTGTCGTTTACATTCCTGCACGCTTCGACTGTCGGTTTCGACCCCTCCGGTGACTGGTGCGGACCCTCGAAAGGCAGACTCGACTGTATGGACGCGCTGCAGTCGCTCTTCACCGCCACGTTCGAGGACTCCGACCTTATGTGCTGTATCACGTCTATTATGAACACCTCCATGTCCTCTACGGAATCCTTCCCCTTAGAAAGGATTTCCTCAAACCTCCGCTTGTACTGTTCGAAGTCTTTCATGCTCGTGTAGAAGTTGTCGAAGATCTCTTGAACGGCGGTCTTGAACAGTTTTATGTTCGACTCAAGGCTCGGCACGTAACTGCTGTCGGTCTGCAGTTCTTGTGATATGTTGTTGTAAATCTTAACCTCGAACTTATCCAAGTCGAACGTGTGTGATGACTCTACACTTGGTTCCAGATCGCCTCTCCCAGTTTCTTCACATTCAATACTGTTTTCAAAGTCGCTGCGCTCTTTGACCGGTCTTTCGTCCAGTCCGTACTTCTTATAAAGTTCCTTGGACGCATTTCGTTCGTTGCTGGTATGATGTGGATTTCCTTTGCTTCTTATCATATCTACGTTTGTGTCAGATTTCCAAAAACATTCTGAAAAATTTGCTTCGTTTCGTGATGATATCGTCGAGCAGCATTGGCGAGGTGCTTCCATTTTTAAATAACCCCTGATAACGTGAATTGAAAGTTTTGAATTAATCTTATGATCTTCGGAAACATTCGTACACATATCGCTTGTCGATCAATGTTATGTGGTACTATGTACATACTTATTACTCCCATTATTGCTTAGAGGTGGACATGGTATATGCAAAGAACATTTGTCTGTGTTTTAATACACTGGTATGTGGTAGGGCCACGCAACAGCCTAGGCTATTATTGTACGAATACTCGTCCGGGGAAGTACCAAGGGCTCACAGAAGACTAGCGTGAAAGTATTATACTTGAAAGATCTGTCTGGTGAGTGAGATAGCCGAGGTCCACCTTTTAAATGTTGGCAACAGAAACGTTGCCACCTGTCAGGTGTTGTATATATCCATGGGCAGTGGTAATGGCTGAACATCAAGTGAATAGTCTGCTCGCCAAGTTATAACATTGAAAGAACCGAGGGCGAAATTATTGTCAGCACTCTTTAAACCGTAAATTATAGAAAGATTTACATATATAATGTCCTACATAAACCTATTATAAACTAGCAATACTTACCAGGTATTAACATTTAAATTTAGTTGATCTAATTTAGGTACATTAATAATTTTAAAAACTGACAATGATGACTATTTATTCAAAACTTATAAATCAGTTTTTTTAATAAAAAGATTTAAATCGTCTATGGCTAAAACGATCATCTAGCAGAAATAAGAAATTGTATATTTTTATTGTAGCTTTAATTGAAACTTATTTGCTTTCGAATTAGTACATTATCTAAGTCTAAAGTCATTTAAGTTTCAAATAACGCTTTATTGTTGAAGGTTTTTGAGTCGAATAGGTATGATTGGTGGTGAAGATTCGACCATTTTATATTATATGCAAATAAATAAGGTGATTTTTAGGATCCCCTTCCCGTTATAAACTAGTTAGTGATGGACCGGTCAGAAATTATTTATTGTTGTGCTGACCATACCGAACTTTTTAGAAGCCAACTTAGCCTTCTTCTAATTTCTCTTCTCTTTTCAAATTATCAACGCTTCCTTTACATACTGTGCAAATAAGGGAGCCATTCCCGAAAACAGGTATCAACTTATAACCTGTGTTTTACTAGGCGTTAACTCAGAGTAAGCTCCTTCGATCAATAGTTTTTTTAACAAAACGCTGATTCCGATTTATTAAAAAAATCATTCGAAACGAGTCTGTTCCGGCTCTCATCAATATTTTCTTGAGTAACATTAATGCGCCCGTAATTTAAATATCGATGGCATGTAAAAAGTCAATTACACGCTAAAGAAACATGGTAGGGATAGCCCGTCAAAACGTTTATCCTCAACAACGATATTGAATCCTCGATCTGTGAAGTCAATAGCGACATAATCACAAAGTTTCTCTTTTCAAAATTAGCGAGCAAACGGTTCGAGGCCATTCGTAACTTCCAGACCTACCATCATCGTTTCTCTCCTGCACTCAATTGGATGATTTAGGTAAAGTAGGATATAATCTAATATAGATAAATAGGAAATAAGATGGCACAAGTGACCGTGGAAGGCATGTATTGTACGCCGGCAGCATGTCTAGGAGGCAGCGATCGAAATATGTGATTAAAGTATTTAGAGAAAAATAATCAGATATAAGAGCCAACTAAAATATAAAATACGTATGCCATGAGTGAAACCCGCACAACAGCGGCGCTGCACAATCGCTACAAACTATGTCACTGCTTGCAACACTTAAATAACAAAGGGGTTTTTTAACTTAATCTGTATTGGTCTCTATGTATGTTGTTTTTTTTATGGGAAAAGTTGTCAAACGAGCAGGCGGTTCACCTGAAGTTAAGTGAATACCGCTGCCCATGGACATCTGCTACACCTGAGGGTTACGGATGCGTTGAAAACCTTTTAAAAATTGGGCTCCGGCTATCTCACTCACCAGACCAAACGCGAAAGTATTTGTCATACTTCCACTTTACGCTGGTCTTCTGTGAGGTCGTGGTACTTACCCGGACGGGCCTGCCCATTCGTGCAACAGCCGAGGCTGCTGCGTGGCCCTACCAACGCAAAAGTGTTAGCTTTGGTGATTAAATTTTGCTCAATGAATCGGCTTATATTATATTATTTTAATTAAATATTATAATATGTATAAAAATTGTGTCCATTTTATTTATTAACATCAAAAGAAAGGGTTAACAATTAATAATATTAGATGATGTTTATTCAAGTGATGACATCGTGGCTTCCAAACCGTTAACCGTTTATAAGATTTTATACTGTTTTTGAACGTTTTATTCTTTGATTGTCCATGGTTTGTATTTCCGTTAGAGGTAAAAAATATCTAAATAATCTTTAAGTTTTCATAAAAATTAAAACGGTTTGGAAACAGCCTTTATATATTTTCGCTTATTATATATACCTAAAAAGTATTACTTTTCTCATAAATCAAGCATTTTATTATCTGTATGTTAAAGAAAAATAGACACATAAGAGGAAATGAGATAGTATAACACCATGGCGGCAGGGCAGTCAAACACAATTTGTCTATGCATGTGATTGAATTGATCACTGCTGTCGAAAGTCGAACGAAACAAGAATCGTAAAGGCCCCGCCTTTAAATCTGTGAAAACAGTTAGTTTGGTATCACAGCAATGATATTTTTATAAAACAGTTATCTAGGTAATTTTAATATATATTTAATTAATCTCGCCAGAGTTACAATTTTTTGTAAAGCCCGCAATAAACCGTGAATATTGATCTATCGTTGTTAACTGAAACTGTGATTTTTAAGCATATTTGTCACAAAGAGTTTAAATTCAGAATCACTTCATATTAAATTTTCCGTATAAATTTTGTAAATTCAATTCCGTAGTTTGTGTATATTCGTACTACTATTTTTGTGGGTGTTGTCATTGTAACAGCATTATTCGGATTAGGTCATCGAGTGCGGTAGACATGTGTGCCGGAGAAAAGTGTTTTAACGTCTCTAAACCAGCTTGTTTCGTTTCTTATTAGATTCACGAGGCTGCGGATTGTTGCAACCATGGAGACTCTTAAATTTATATGTATACTTATGATAGTGTCTCAGGCGCATACACTGTGTAAGTATTTTGATGTATTACTTCTTTATCAGTTGACCGTAGAACATTTCTCGTACAATTGAAAGCTATTTTAATCCTATATATTGTTAAGTTCATTCAACTTTTTGTAACTGTCATCATAGAGTCAATGCTTTTGTTGCAATACTTCACTACCATCGATGAAACAGTTTTAGCAAGTTTGCTAGTAAACAATTACAAATCTTAGAAAAACGATAAAATGTGCTGAAAATGGCAACAAATCATATTTAGTTTTATAACAGGAAAGATTGGGAATAAAATTATTTAAAGCACTATTTTTTTTAATTTAGGATTTAGTAACAACTGAATCTCCTCTTCAGAAACTTTGTATTAATGCTCAATCCACCATTTAAAATAAATTAGATTTAAATTTTGGAAGATTTTAGGAGATTCAATATACAAAATCATGATATTTTATAAGATATAACTCGCTAAAGTGGTTCTTCATATTTTTATGCCAAACCACCAATTTATCAGCAACAATTTTAAGTATATATATGGAAATACAATAATATTTTAACAAATCTGTAAATATACACTTCATAGCTTTCTCTCAATAAAATACATACCATGCATTAGTGGACACAAGCGTAAAACAAACAAAATATACATAATTTTAATTAAAAAGTAAACGCATAATATACTTAGAATAATATATGTAATATTTCTTTGAAGATCTCTTGATTTTTTTCCAGAAGTATTTGTATAATTAATGCTACGGTTTCTAATTCATCCATGTCTATGAATGGATACTATTCAGGATAAGTCATTCAATAAAAACACATTAGAACATGTTCTAGATTACAAATTGCTGTATTGTTTTGTCCTTGCCTTGCTATGATTTCATATTTGTTCATCTGATCTGACTTTAAGACTCAATTTATTAATTTTGTTTTTGTTGTGTCATGTTTGCATGGTTTGTATTGTACTCTGCACATGTTATGAATTTTTAAGAAATTTATTCATTGTCATTTAAACATATTGCTGAGGAAGATTCTTACAGATTTAAATAGCTTTCTAAGAGTACCTACTATAACCTTAATATTTTACTTATGTAAACTTTAGAACTTATTACAGTTATGTGGTATAGGACCATACTGGCTATAAAGCCACATTAATTTCTGTATATTAAGATTAATTGCAAGATTATTATTTCTTTTATTGCTGATGCACATTTAAAGGAGAAAGCATATGTATGCCGCCTTGCTTAGAGAACAAATAGTTCTATTGGTTCTCTTTTTTATGGATGTATCTCAAACCTCATAAAGTGAGATATATATACTGTTGTATTAAGTTGCATAGAATTTATATTTGTATCTTACATGTCTCCGATTTGTCCTTAATTAATTGTTATGATAGGAAAAGCTGTCAAGCCAATTGATGCTGTAGAAATTGTGTTCATTTCAAAATGTGCTAGTCAGCAGCTACTGAAAATGACTATGGAATGTGAGTGAAATGTAAGTGAAAAGAGAAAGTAGTAAAAAGTACTGTTATAGTGGTTTAGGCGTATGGAAATACTGAATGAAGATATACTGAATGAGATAAGGTAAAATTTTGGTTTAGAATAAATGTTAAATCTGTTAAGGCACCCGAAATAAATGCATCTAAAAGTGCCTATAAGTGGCCTGTTTGCATTGTGGTATAGATGTGGAAGAGACGGGAAGTATGTAAGAAATTGGAATTATGTTATTATAACTGTTTAGCCCTCTTGGATAAAGGTGTGAGTGTTGATGTAAATATATACTACTACCATGATATTGGGAGAAGAGGGGTAATGGGTATTGGCATACGGCAACTTCACTACTTCACTCACCGGATAAAATGCAGGAGTATAAAACATCCACTTTACTTCAATTTTCTATGAATACATATTTGACTCCATGGATGCCATCAGAAAGCATGGGGCTTCTGCGTCTTGTGCAACAAATGACCACCCACAACTGTCTACTGCCACTTGTTAAGATGGTGGGTCTCTAGTTACCTCATTTACAGACGAAACTATTAATATTTCTAAATCATATAATTAAGTATTGACAATTCCAGCATATGGTACATGACCTGACGGGATGTGTCTAGGATAGCATGTGTAGGAGGGCCCCACTTACCTTACTAAACCATTAGAGGTAGTTGCTAAGCTATTGGCTTTGGTACCGGGGGTTAAGGGTTAAGGGTTCGATTGCCACATGATATATGATCCGTGTGACCAACAGATAATTGTTCCGGATCTGGGTGTTTATTCCCAAGGAGTGTTGTCGTCATCCAGGCGGCCTGTCCGATAAAAACCTGGCCAATACCGTAAACAACATGATTTATATGTTTTGCCGAATCCACCTAGATGCGATGAAGTCAGGAAGATGATTGTACATGACCTAACTAAGGGTATGCTTGGTAAAGTCCGTCCTATTTACGTCCCATCCCTTCTTTTTTTTCTATACTATTTAATAAATATGTTGAGGTTGTTATTATTGATAACAAAAAGAGCCGTAATAGCTCAGTGTTAGGACGCTAGCTTTTTATTGAATATACACGAACAACCCGAGTTCAAAACCACCACCGGTGCCAGCACCAATGAAATTGTCAATTCTATTGATGCTGACACCGGGAATTTGAATGAAATTGCATGTGCTGAATTATCACGTGCTCAGCGGTGATGAAAGATATGAGGACCAGCATATTTTCGAAATAATATTCAAACAAAAAATACCTCTGTACGGAGGAGGCCTTTGTCCAGCAGTCGGACTTGTATATGTTGTTGCTTTACTCTTATTGGTGATGTTTATGGAACAGTGACGTCACCGCCCCGAATCGTGAAGCAGCCGACAGTGGAGGAGCTACTGTTCCAAGTGGCCCAGTCGGGGGAGGTCGATAAGCCGTTCATCATCGAGTGCGAAGCGGAGGGGGAGCCGGCACCCAAGTATGTATAAACCCCTATTGTACCTTAATACCAGCATTAAAAAGTCCCTGCCCTACTCTATTCTATACTAGCAGTTCCGCCCGCGCGGTCAAAGGGAATTAACGATGAAGTTTTTATTATGCACCAGACTTAACGTTATATCTTGGACAGTTAGAAGTGTTATTCTGATGTGTAAGCTATATTTTTGTAGTTTCATTTAAATCCATTCAGTAGTTTTTGTGCGAAAGAGCGACAAACATCCATACATACAAAATTTTACGTTTATAATATTAGTAAGGATGTTAGTTAGTGAAAATAAGTAATGTCTAGGGACCCTGGCATCACACATGCATCATAATAAGTGCATACATGTATATTATGATTCTCGTAAATACAGACCTTTGGTTCGATATGTTGCTGGCTTCTGCACCGCTCATTGTTATTGATATTTGCATCGGAGTTTAATTGTATACTGACAGTATTAATCATGTCATGAATAATCTCATTTCGGTTTCACCGAACGTTATTAGGCATGCGACGCACGTTACCCGTCTTAATTAAGTCAGAGTGAATTCATTTGGCTGTTAACAATTACTTATTTACTATCTAATTACGTTGCTGTGAGTTAAATTAAATATCAATTTAGTGGGGTGGAAGTTAAACTCATAAGCTACTCAAGCGCCCTGTTATATCGCAACTGACATCACGACCCCATGTCGCTATTATTTATTTAGTGCAAAAGAAATACGCACTGACTTTCAATTATTAAAATGATGAAATAGGTAGACAAGCACACCTGCATAGATGGAAGCAGGATAATAAAGTAAAGAAGAATAAATCTCTTCTTGTCTCCCTTTGACCGTCTTCATTTTGCGTCGTCAAAAATGTACAAGCTAAGCGCTTCACCTGCGTACACTGCACAAACGTTCTTGAGACTCCTCACCAGGATGAAAAGGATTGTGGACTTATGCTAAGATATTCACCATGCTCCAGATTTGAAGCCGTCGAGTGAATCGTCGCAGTTGCCTACGCCTCTGAGACCGTATACTATCCAGACTCGAAATGAGATTCTTAGTGCAGTTTAATTATCATTAATAATAATGACAGGTGTAACATTAGTTTGCGTTTAACATTTTCAAGGACGTAACCAACTATAATTTTCAACATTCTTTCACTAATACAAAGTGAAATTCCCTGAGTGACAAGATACAACGTATTCCCATAATTTGTAGATTCAAATGAGATCTATTTAAAGTATCTCACATCCGGTTTCTGAAACACTGATCACCGTAGAAATTTACTAATCAGCTGTCAAATGGCTTGCCAAACGTGATTTGAGTTGCCAAAAGGATGGTTAAATAAGTAATAGTTGAACAGAACGATCAGAACAATCAATCAAAAGAGCTTTATTATCCTTTGGCAACGCAAATGATATACAAATAGACATTTGAAAAGCCATTTGATAGCTGATTAGTTAATTTGTACAATGGTCAGTGTTTCAGAAACCGGGCGTTAGTCGATCAAATTTGGTTTAAGTTGAGGTAAGTTAAAAATTCAAGTTCGTATCCAGTGAACAATCTTGCTCATTAAAGAAATGCATGGCACTAAATGTAAAGCATTATGGACATCAAACAATATTAATAACGGTTGAAGTTTTTGTCTGTTTATAACCTATACTAAACATCAAAGGAGAAAATTCTGTACTCTATTCGTGACCTCTTTAAAATTCCGGCGAATTAATTCGAATGGAAAAATTTTAATGGGTCGATTGCAAACATTGACCCAGTGGCATAAACATTTCTTGGCGCCGGGTCGCTGGGCCGTAAAGGAACAGTTGCCAGTTGCCAATTGCCAACTACATTACATACTTACGAAACACCGCTCTATGCGGCAGTGGTTCCATGACCTGTAACCTGCTTCGTCAATGGTCCTTATCTTCCGAGAGAGAATTTATTAAATCGAAATTAACGAAATCGTGACGTTATTTAAAATAGCCACGAACGTTATGTATAAGAACTTTTTTTTGTACGTTACCTACTGTAGAACATCAGAAACACGCGTAAATGTTTCGTTGCACAAACAAAACACACATGGGCAATCAATATACGGAATAAGATATTCTTTTCTATGTCTTATCTTGCACCGAGCAGATATCAAAGCCGCGTACTGTGATGCTAAAGCCTATATATGTATGTTCTTATTATATAAATTATATTATTATTATACTATGTATATTCTTGTAGCTTTAACTATCAAATAGATATGTTGGTCATTATATACATGACCAAGGTTATGTATGTAATGACCAACATATCTATTTAAGGTACTAGGTTACTACTAACTACTAGGTTAAGTCGATTTTATAGTTGCCATTTCAGCCTACTCGTTTTATAATTTTAATGATTTATTTTACACTACACCACCTCAGAATGTAGCTTAGATTAAACAAAAATTTGAGATTCTAAACAATGTCCCCAAGCCTAAGCATAGCCTGTATTGTAAGCCATCAGGTCTTTTCGCAGTTTGTCATATTAACATGTATACCACCATGATAAGTTAAAAAAAAATATGTGACAAAGTAACACTTGGTGTCACTCTGATATCAGTAACAGTTTATGAATAAACTTACATATTAGCTTTAATATTAGGATGAACTAATATGTCATCGTTTTATGCTTCGTTGAGTTTATGGTCATGATTTCATTATGATGAAAATTTCAGCTGTCTGACTATTGCGGTTCATGAGATACAGCCTGGTGACAGACGGACAGACAGATAGACAGCGGAATCTTTATTTTTCATTTTTATTTTTTTTTTAATGTGAAATGTTGCCAAACGTTTCACCTGATGTTAAGTGAATACCGCCGCCCATGGACATCTGCTATACCCGAGGGTTCCAGATGCGTTGACAGCCTCTTGAAAATTGGGCTCCGGCCACCTCACTCACCAGACGAAACGCGAAAGTATTATACTTCCACTTTACGCTGGTCTTCTCTGGGGTCGTGGTACTAACCCGGACGAGCTTGCCCATTCATGCAAGAGCCTAGGCTGCTGCGTGGCTCTACCACTGTAAAACGGTATAATCTTAGTAATAGGGTCCCGTTTTACCCTTTTATTATCCCGGATCTTTTATTATCTTTCAAAGAATATTGATGGAAGGGAAAATCATCAGTCAAAATAAAAAATGGTATTTTATGGTCTGACACCGCACCCCGTAGAATTACTATCCGAGGATTTTAACCTTAGCCTGTGTCACGCTATGCTATTAAACTATAGGTGAATGACCTTTCCTATGTATTGCTCCGAAACTCGCTGCGTTGCATGATTTTCAATATTTACGAGGGACAGACTTTCGCAAGTGTTTCGCGTTAGTAAATTGGAAAGTTTAGGCGCGACTCGCACAGCTTAATGGCAATGTTACGATTTAGGGATTTAGATATGTATAATGTTATCCTAAAGTAAGGGCAATGTTAAAAAAAAAAGATATAAAATGAGAAACTGATTGACGAATCAACTTATCAGAGCTTTAACTGCTTGGCTTTCAATTTCTATATTTTGATATGGATACTGTTTTTACTTGGATATCATCAAGAATGGATAGAATAAAACCATGTTTAAGATTGTTAAAGTGCGTTTGGCAATAATTATTTCTGTCTTAAAACTTCTCGGTCTGCTATCCTGTGATAGCTCAATAAGACGCTAGCTTTTAATTCAATATACTCGAGCGACCTGAGTTAGATCCCCGGCACCGGCATCAATGAAATTGTCTATTTTAAGTACTGACATGTGGTCAGAAATATTTCGAAGATATGTGAAGTCCGCGAATCCGCAGTGCCTTTACCCAGCCGTGGGACATTTATGGGCTGTTGTTACTTTATGTTACGACCTAGTGAACTAGGCTAACTAAACAAATTAAACGGCTACATATTCCTGTTACGTCGCATTTGTTGTTATCATGTACTCGGCGATCCCTAGATAAATTAACTCTTCCAATTTCGCATCTATCGACGCACCGCGTTGACTGTCGCGTAGTTTCGTCGGCATTACGTAATTGCTTATCGAAACTCTGAACTATCCTCATTTCCTGGTCACGTCGCTCCCCCCGGCGTGTGCACTTCCCCCTGGAAAGGGACGCTGTGGGGACGGAAACTCGATAACTCCCCGAGGAGCGATCGACGTTTTTCAGAGTGCAGCACTCTCCTCCTGTATGTAGCTACAGTGTTATTTACCTGACTGAATATTGGATTTCGTAGATACAAACATCGGAGGAAAGGTCAATGAACCCAGGCTCGGTCTTGTGCCGCGATGCGCGTTCCTTACGAAGGTTTTATTTAAACCCTTGTATATATTTATCTCTGTTGTTATGTTAGTGATGTTCTCGGTATGTCTATTTGGCGCAGTTTCTTTCTAGCGCGAGTTAAGTTGGGAAGTAGCTTATTTATTATCTATTCAAAAATTTTTCGTTTTCTTTCCTCTAAAAGATAATTTTTTTAGTTAAGTTCCTGTTCTCTATTTCAAGTTTGTTTTATAAGTGTTGTGTTTACCTGTAATTTAAATATGTACATATATTGTTTACAACTTTACTATTAAGTTAAACATGTTTGCATTTGATTGTTCTGTATGTATTTGTTGGTAAGCCTTAATAAATAAATAAATAAATAAATAAATAAAATGTAGTCGTAAATTTGGTACATATTTAAATTTTTAACGACCAGAATGTTTGTAATACAATCCCTTAAAAATAATTCAAATAGCTTTGCATCAGAAGGCAGATAAAATAGTACTCCTGCTGTGGGATATACCTTTTAACATTTTGTGTTATAAAGATGTTTTATATAAAAAAAAATCGCACACACAACCGAGAAAATTCTTATTAGTACAAAAATATTTTATTCAGGTATCTAACGTACAACTTGTGACGTTGAAACCTTAAGCTTGGCAGCTGAGCCTATCGAGCCATAAAATGCAATTAGAGAGCTGGATTCTCCTCAATGTATTCAGCCGGCGTTCTTGGCAATGCG